GTCCAGAAGACCTATACAATTTTTTTCTTTTTGATTTTTTACCTGGATTACTGAGATGCATCAGGACATACACTTATAGATGTTTGACAGAAATTATCATGTACTCAGTGGTGGGCACAGTTCCCCTAAAGCACTAATAAGGGAACTAATTTCCTGATTAGTGCTTTAGGGCTTTTGCTAATTTTAACATTTATTAGTGGATTAGCACTTGCTAAATTTATAGGCTAAATTTAAAAGCACTAACTGAGGTCTATAAATGTTATTGATCAATGTTAATGTTAACAGCTGAGGGTGAAAGATGTCACACTTTGTTCATATGTGTCACTTTATCCACCAGGTGACAATATATTAACAATATATGAACACAAATACAGCTGTGGGATGTCAGTGATAAGTCTTGAGAGAAAAACATTTTAATATGTGACTCATGTTGTCTGTTGAAGAATGTTCATGGGTCGACTTGGTTATTTTAGTGCTTTAGAATTAGGGGACCTAAATATTTGAGTTAGTGCTTTAGAATTAYYGGACCTAAATWTTRGAGTTAGTGCTTTAGAATTAGGGGACCTAAATATTTGAGTTAGTGTTTTAGGGCTAGTGGAACTCATTTTTAGATTAGTGCTGCCCACCACTGCATGTATTGAGCAATTCAAGGTAGTGTAAAGGCTTATAAGARAGAATTTGTTTGCTTTATAACAGAAAATTTTGAAGATTTGAGATGTCTGAAGATGGAAATGATACTCTTATGATGATATTCTTAGGAWGGGTGAACTAACGGCTGTCAAACTCTTTACGCCATCTGTAACAGGTGAGCTCTGCATTCCTTTGAACTTTTACACAAAAACTATTTTGAAAATCATGTTCATGTAAACTTTCATTGGATCAGCTGCAGGTCAGTAGTTGGAGCTGCTAACAGCTCATGTTGGGAGGCAGGGGTTGACAGCTGTTGTCCCAGTGTAACAGCACCAGCAGGGCTCCCTGGGACACGTCAATCAATAAGAAACCTGACCTTCAGACCCCGCCCTCGACTGTCCCACAGKGTTCAGCAACAAAAGCCGTGACCTGCAAACATCTGGACATGTCTGACACGAGACGTGTCGACGAGAAACACGAGACGAGCAGAAAAATTTTACAACTTTGACAGTTTTATTTGTGAAAAACTACAAGCAAAATTCATAAATAGACATTTCTATTTGAAGCGGAGGAAAAATGATCGGGTCAGCCTAGAAGCGCAAAGTCGTGCACATGCCAGAAACATGTAATTAGTTGAACATCGTTAAGCTAGACAAGGAGCAGTGATCTGCTGAAAATGCTGCGTACATTTCCACACCAGGAACAGAAAAGTGACCATTTCACAAGGAGAAACAATGACACATCAGCTAGAAGGTAGAAATAAAAAAACAAAAACAAAACAAAGGAAAATAAAAACAACTTAAAACTGGATTCAAACAAAAAAAAAAATGGAATTTTGTACTGTCCCTTCATTTTTTTTTCTTGTCATCTCTTTTTAAACCAAGCAATAAAAGCATTGTACAAGACACCGTTATAGGAAGAAATGAGTTTGTATAATACACTTAATTGGAAGTTCACGTTTAAGAATATACAGTAAGTAAACAAGCATTCTATATTTGGGTCTCTGAACAAACAAAGCTAAAATATGTAACCATCTTTACACAGTAAATTAAGGTTACTGGTTGCACACAAGAACAGAACTGCTTGCGCGGGAGGGAAACAGAACAAAAAAACAAAAAACAAAAAAACAGCTCCAATGCCATTATTTATAGTGTTTTCTTTTGCACCTTTTTAAAATTCTATTTACAGGCAATAATTCATATATTTAGCAAATGGCCCTGGGTTCATAATTTAATGATTTCTCTCTGGCAGAGCCCACGGGTCGTGTGAATGTGGTTACAAGCTAAGGCAGGAGAGGAGATGGCTTCGTAGGCCCGGTTCTGATAAGATTGCATTCCAAAGCAGCCCCTCCCACCCCCGATGACTCAACAGTCCCARGTTGTGAAGTCGATTCACACTGCTTGTCCCCAGCTTCAACACTGATTTCATATTCGAATGCGATCAAACACATCATTCCATTTTAACCACGGCTCCAAAACAGACATGATTATCATCCCTACATGTGAGAGGGAGAGAAACGTTGAGACGGGTTCAATCTAAGCCCCAGGTTAGGTGAGACTGACCTGGTTCTGGTTGCTCGGGCGGAGCTGCTGTGAGAGCTCAGCAGAGCAAACTACGACCCGCTACTGTGGCTTCCTTCGACCCCCGCTCACAGGCTCCGCCCCCGACGTGTCCGAGCTCAGAGTGTACAATAAGAAGACCATTTCCATGGATTATATTAGTCTTTATTTAAACTGTTATTCATCTCACACATTAGATAATTGCATTTCAAATTGTTATCCATCTGTTTCTGTATTATGTCATGAAATTCCTTTGGTCCTTCAATAAATAAAACTAAGATATCATATACACATTTATTCTTTATACAATTTCATACACTTAAAGGAAATTCTGTTGGTCTATAATCAGCTAAGGTGAAAGTTACTTAAAACCCTTATATAAGCCTTGCTGCTATAAAATTTAAAGGACAATCGTATTCTCATAAGTAATCTTTTGCCTTCAATGACAGGAGTCTTAAATGAGCACAATAAAAACAAGTCAATCCGATTATTAACCTTCGTAAATGATCCTTTTCTTTGCATGCGTTTTCAGCGTCGCGAGGACGAAGATCCGCTGTCGTCTTTCAGGACGACAGTCACTGAAAAGTGAAACTGATTTTCACAACAACTGGACTCTACAGAGTCTGTTTCACAGAACCGATTGGTTTGACCAAGTGGAACTGGATCCTTTAAATCACACAAAAACTAAACAGAAAATCAGAACTGTGGCTTGAGAGCGGAGCGGAAAGCTCCGCCTCCGGCCGGACATCTCAACGTTGAAGCGTGGAATGCAGGAAATATCAACAGCTTTTTAGTGTTTTACACAACAGCCTACACTGTACAGTAAAGGACATAGAATACTGTACAACCTGCTAAAGCGTAATAAATCAAAGTGGAGCCAGGCGTCTGATGAGCGCCGACCCGGACAAAGAAAACAGAAGGACCTGTTGGAGGTCTCGACAGTGTTGTTGAGAAAAGTGAAGGAGAATTTGATTCATCTGCACTTCGTCACATTGAGCGAACGGGCTCAAGATCTGCAAAACCGCTTCACAGTGTATCTAGCACCAGTGTGTGTGTGAGTGTGTGTGTGTGTGTGTGGGGGGGGTTCTAACATTTTCAATGTAATAAAAACACTGAAAGAACAACCAGCAGAGCTACACCGCGAAGCTTCAACAAAAAAAACAATAAAAAAAGAAGGAAATATCAAAGTATACAGGTGCAACAGGTAATAAATAAGGGGAATAATAGTTACTCAGACGGTTGGTGGTTATTGTGCCCAGAGGAGATTTCTTCTTTACAAAAACAAACAAACAAAAAAAACTTGGCCTCACATCCACATACTAATATAAAACAATACATACAAGTGTTGGATGCTACCGTTAGGGGGGGTATTTTGTGTAGCCCAGCTGTTCTTGCCTTTGTCACCACCGAAACCACAAGGAAAGTTCCCCAAACAGGGTGTTCATTTTCCCGAAAGACACCTCTCGCTCATCAGCCAGGTCCTCTCAGCATCCAGGGGATATCTCGGTTTAGAGGGAGGGGCAGCCAATGGGAAAGGATTCCTATCCCCCCATGTATGGGATCCATAGTGTTCAAAACGATGAGAGAGGGAAGGGGGTGTGAAGCAGAAAGAGGACGAAGGACGGGCAGGAGGGGGGGGGGGGGGGGGGGGGGG